TTAAAAAAAAATTATAAATAGCAACATACACACAAAAAAACCTTTCAAATGTCTTGTGGAATAATTCATAATAGAAATAATGATAAGAATGTTCGCAGTGATTCTTTAATGTGTAAGTATTTATAACGAATGATTTATTATTATTGTACTAAAACAGGCAACAAACAAACAATTCTAATAATAACAATTTCCACTTTTTTAAAATAATAGATTTTACCGCGGGATCTTGTCATTCAGTTCTCCAGTGTTCGGAAAGATCGTTAAGAAACGCATCATTACCAAATCTGATTCATTTCATCAAAGATGTTACAATCAAAACCAAGATCTCCAAGGTAACAATGGTGGTAGGATTAATTTATGTTCATAGATTAAAGAAAACATTGCCCGCAACAGCTCGCGGTGATTTTGACACACCCTACAAAATATTTTTATCGGCAATCTTGGTAGCCAGCAAATATTTGAGTGATCATTCTTTACAAAATAAGCGAGTGGCCGAGATTACTGGTGGACTGTATACTGTTAAAGATGTTAATACCATGGAAAGAAGTTTTCTTGGTTTGTTGAAATATGATCTTTGGGTGGACGTGGAAGAAATCAAACAATTCATCGAAGATCATAAAGTTGAATTTGAAATGAACATTGACGTAAATTGGATCGGTGGCGAACAACATTAATTGTGTTGATAGTTCAAAGATATATATACATACACCAAGAATAATATTATTCGTTATTATATATAAAATTTATTTTTTTTAAATTTTTATTTTCGAAGAAATCAATCATTCGTTAATTTAATACATTTTTTTTTTTTTTACATAAATTTTTTTTGTTTCTTCCATTCCAAATAATTTATTTTCAATTTTTCAATCGATATTACGATGATTATATTATCATCTTCAAAATAATTTTTTTGTATAGTTTTTTTCGCATTAACATATTTTTTCATTATATAGAATTTTTTTATACATCAAAATAGATTTTTTAAATTAATCTTTGCTTGGAAAATTTTAAAAAGACACGAATATATGAAAAGTAAAGATTGATTAAATTATATAGATTAATAATAATAGATTATTTTGTTAAAAATTTTTTTTGTAAATATAAATACTATAGATTATTCTTTAATTAATTACCCTTTATTTAAATTATGATTATATTTATATTCTAATTAATACTAATATTGCAATATTGTGTAGATATTTTACATATACAATTTATGATTTATATATATATATATTATTTATATATATTATTTATATAATTATGAAAAAAACCGAATTATAATTAAGAAAAACAATTTATTCTCATAACAAATAAAACGAAAAACGAACATCCAAATTTTTTTTTGAAAAGAAATTATTAAAAGTAAAATATTTTTCTACATTGTGTTGTAAAAAAGAACATTTTTAACGTTGAATCCAAAATGATAATAATAATAGCTGGTAATTGATTGGTTGGTTCCTAACTACATTGTTCGTAAATCTTGCTATTTTTAGGTTTTCATTTTCCTTTTTGAGAATATATTTTTTAAATAAGTTATTATTATTATTATTGTTAAAAAACAACTGCTCCAACAAAAAATCCATTACTATAAAGCTCGTTTATATATCAGAGTGAATCGGAAAGGTATTCACTTTAAATTTATATATTTTCAAACATACTTTTTACTAGTTTTAATAAAACATATGTGTCGTCATTTTATTTATTTTTCTAAAATGATGATGACGTTTCTTGACAGA